AGCCCGGGACCCAGGCTCCCGCGTTTGACCCCCCCGGGACTCTGGGCGGAGTTTGGGTCTCCCCAGGGCCGGGGGCCTTGCCCCTTCCTCTGCGGTGCGGGGCCCGGCGGGAGCGCGGTTCTGGGGGGGGCTAACCCTGCGTCTCTCCCCTCTCGCCCAGGCAGCGCCGCCGCGGTCACTTTGACCCAGCCGGGGTCCGCCCAGGCTCAGCTGGGAAGCTCCGTCGCCCTGGAGTGCGCGGTGTCCGGGTACAATGTCAATGACCGGCACATGCAGTGGTACCGCCTGCCCCCGGGGGAGACGCAGGCCCTGCTGGCGTCCTACAGAACCGGTTACAAAACCTACATCGCGGAGGGGCTCAAGGGGCGGGTCACCCCCTACGCTGAGCGGACTCACAGCTGCAGACACGGCCAAGTACTTCTGTGCCACGAACGAGGCACAGTGATCGCCGCGTAACTGCCTCCAACACAATATCCCTCCTGCGGTAGCACCGGGCCAGATCGCCAGGGGGCGCCCGGGCTCTTTATAGGGAGACGCTGAGCGGACTCACAGCTGCAGACACGGCCAAGTACTTCTGTGCCACGAACGAGGCACAGTGATCGCCGCGTAACTGCCTCCAACACAATATCCCTCCTGCGGTAGCACCGGGCCAGATCGCCAGGGGGCGCCCGGGCTCTTTATAGGGAGCGAACAGGGGGCGCTAGGCGCGAAGCATGCCGGACTCGCCAGGGGCTGCGCCCTTCCCGATGGTGCCGTGGCTGCGGTGCGCGCTCCTGCTAGCGGCCTGGCCAGGTGGGGACACCTCTGGAAAAGCAGCGAGCCTTGTGTCTGCCTTCGCCCACTCGGTCTGCCCGTGCCACTCTCCCTTGGTGCGTCCGCAGCCACCAAGACATCGCCCATTCCTTGCGCACTGTTCCGCGTTTCTGTCTCCCTCCAGACCCCGCTGCGCTTTCTCCCAGCCGCGGTCCCTCTGCTGTTTTCTCTCCGCCCACCCGCGTTTCTCCCCCCCTCCCCCGCTGCCCCCAATCTCCACCCGGGCTTTTCCTCCGCCGCAGTAACTCTCCGCTTGTCCCGCGTATTCCTGGTGCGTATTGTGAGCTCCTTTGTTCACGTCTGTGAGAGCCCCCGGGTACCGACAAGGCCCATTAAGCTCCTTCATTGTGGGTTCCTCCGCAGGCGCCCGGTCCCAGTTGCAGCTGGCGGAGTCCGGGGGGGCCGTGACGGAGGAAGGCGAGTCCCTGCGGCTGACCTGCACAGGCTCCGGGGGCTCCTTCGGCAGCTACACCATGTTTTGGTATCGGCAGCGGCCCGGGACGGAACCGGAGTTTGTCTCGCGTATTAACACCGACGGGACAGACCCGCGTTACGCGACCTGGGACCAAGGGCGATTCACCATCTCCAGGCT